AGGCTGCCATTACAAAACATGGGCCTCATTAGAGATTTTTTCAAAATTAGTAAAGGCAATAGCATTTAACATTTCAAAGTTCAAAAGGCAGCCAGAAAAGTCATTCTTAACTCCTTTTTTACTACTTAAAACTCCTACTGTTTTATCAATCTGAACATCAGTAATACAAACGCTGTAAAGCCTTAGTAATTAGATCAACTAGTAGAAAGTACTGAGCAGTACAGCCTACGGATTAACACGTATGCATTTTCATGCCAGGCATGTAACTTGGACTAGATTAAGGAATTATTTAAAAGTAGAATGATTTACTATCAGCATTACTGTATAAAATGAAAATTTCCAAATAATTTTAAGCCGATATTCTCTGTGACCAAGGTTAAATAATACTCCCAATATTTTTTATACTGTGAAGTTGCAAAACTAATACTTTTGACCACCACCACCAAGAGAAGAAAAAAAAAAGGCCCTGGCTGTCTTGTCACAAATTCACAATTCTGGGATCTTATGCATTGATTACATGAAAGATAGTAAATCTCTCAGTTTTCTTTCTTTTCTCCTGTTAAAACAAGAGGGTCCTACTGCCTGGTAGCTCAAGAGAAATAAAATGAGTTGATAATAGACAAACAACTATTAAATATCGAAAATACATATGGCACAGAGAACTACATTCAATATCCTATGATAAACCATAATGGAAATTATATAAAGAATGTATATATATGTATAACTGAATCACTTTGCTGTACAGCATTAATTAACACAACATTGTAAATCAACTATACTTCAATAAAAAAAATTTCTACAGTCGAAAAAGAAAAAGAATACATTGGGAGAGAGACAAAAGCAGATGATCAGAAATGATGACAAACACTCAGAAATAAGTGGCAAAGTGAAGCAGTCATTATTTGTAGGGGGTTCAGGTTAGAAAAAAAGAGCCCCCAGCCCATCCTGAAAATGGGTGAATATGAGCATAATGCATTAGGTGCAGCTGAACAAGGAGAGATGAAACACCCTATCAGGGTCTCCTTGAATTTAAATGTTGCCTCACTGTCATGGGGGAAAAAATGCATGCTCGTGAGTAGGCTGAAGGGAAAGGATGGAGCTGGAGGTTGAGAGAAGACAAATGTGTCGCGTGACTGAAGGTGTAATAAAGTTTATGAACTATTTTTCTTTGTTTTGCTTTGTTAGGAGACAGTGGTGAAAGGGGGGAAACATTTAAATAAAGCAAAATGCTTGACAAGAGTACGTAATCTTTCACTGAAAGTCTTTAAATGTATAAATATCACTTGAATTAGACATTTTCTCAATGTTAATTGTTACTGTGCCTTCTACAGGGTTATATTTATTCTGGAAGCAAATCCAACGTTAGATTAGGTGGTATGTTAACAAGAACTAGTTGTGATTATCAAAAGCTTTCAAAGCCACTTAAAAAAATACTTAATCACCTATAATACTGTTTTTAAATTTTCTTTCAAGCAAGCAGAATAGTGCTTAAAGGAACCTGTGCTCTCTACCACTAGTGTTGTAGTGTTAAAATGACAAATATCTTAAGTGATTACCTCACTTAATCTTTCAAACACCGTATCATTACCTTGAACCGCATTCACAAGAGTTTATATAAGAAAACCCATTGACACAAGTTATATTTGAGTTTTTAAATAAACTTTTAGAAACAGTCTAGAAGTGTATCGGTTAATCACATTTTAAAATTGATAATCACACAAACTGAATTCTCTGGGGTTTGTACTTAGAGGCTATCAGTAGCACTAAAATATCTTTGTATCTTATGCCTCTCCTATAGGAGAAAAAGTAGATAATCAGGGAACATGATAGACTTCCCATAAAAGGCATTCTTTGAAAATAAGCAGCACCTGGTAAACATCCTGCTCTGCTCTTGGTTTAATTCTCCCTTCTTCTGGTCCTAACCATGACCCTACCTCCCCTGTTCCATCTCACATCACTACCACCCTCCTAAGCCTCCCGCCATCGTTCAGGTAACAACTCTTCTCTGCTCCTTCCATGATTTCTGAGTTGAGGAAACCATCATATTCAACTATCGCTTCTATGGAAACAATACAAAATCTGTACCTCTAGTGTTGCCTCTTTGATATCTGCCTCAATTCTATAACTGCTTACCTGACTTCTTTACCTGGTATTAAATTTAACATCGCACAGGCTCTAGTGAGACTACCTAGGTTAACATCCCACCTCCACCACTTATGAACTCAACAGCTTTAGAGAACTTCATCTGCAAAACAGATGCTTCTTCATCTGTAAAACAGAAATAAAATTGGAACCTGCAACTCATTGGTAGACTGCAAGAATTAAACTAGATAATATCTAATTGATGTAAAGCACTTTGAACAGTGCCTGCCACATAGAAGACACTTGATAAAAATCAAATATTATCCATTACTTTATTATAACATTTAGCTGTAACTTTAAATACAGCATGCTCAAAAACAAAAACATGTCTTCCTTCAAACTGGAGAACAAAAAGGCACTAGCACTATCAAACATCTAGACTTATTATAAATCTATACTAATTATGACTATGTCAGGTAAGAAGTAGTAGAATAAGCACCAAAATAAAGAAATAGATCAGTGGAAGCAAACAGAGAGCCCACAGACAGACCCAACCATCTATGGACACTCAGGCTGTGACAGAGTGGATAATATATAGATTAAAGGAGAAAGGACAGGTTTTCAAAAAATAAATGATACTGGAAAAAGTCGGAGTCTACACAGAAAATAAATAAATAAAATGGGATCCTCTTCCTGGTATCATACCAAAAAAAATCATCTCCAGATGAATTATAAACCTGAATGTAAGAAGTAAAAACCATGGAATTTTGAGAAGAAAATACATAGAAAATCTTAACTTCAGAGTAAGGAAAGACTTCTTAAACAGTAAGAGCGCGGACCCAAAGGCAAAGGCTGATAAATTTTAAGCCAGAATTTCTCTTCACCCTAAGATACCATAAAAGAAAGTGAAAGATAAGCCACAAGATACAACATATGTAATATGTAAGGATTAGTATACAGAATACATTTAATGTATTCCCACAAATAAATAATAAAAAAATAACAGCGAAATTTATTTAAAGAGCCATTTCACAGAAAAGGAAAATCTAAATGGCAAATAAACATATAAAAAGATGCTCAACATCACTAGTAATCACAGAAACACAAATTAAGACCACATTGAGATACCATCTCCACCAGCAGATTGGCAAAAATTTACAACCCTGACCATATCAAGTACTGCCAAAGAGTGGAGAACAACCACACCCATCCATGACTGGTGGGAGTGAACGCCAGTACATCCGTGGGGGGAAAGTTCATCATTACCTAAAACTTTGAATATGCACACACCTGTGACCCAATAATTCCTAGGTACATATCCTAAAATAACTCTTGCACATCCGCACCAGAAAACATGTTCAAAATATTCAGAGCAGCAGTGCTCGTGAAAGCAAAACACAGGGAAAACTCAAAACTCTTTCAATAATAAAATGGATAAATTGTGACAAATTCATTCAGTAAAATACTATGAATGGCCAGTTATTTTACATCCATCAACATGGATAAATCTAAAAGCAAAATGTTAAGGAAAAGAAGCAAATCTCAGAACACAGACAGTATAAGTCCAATAAATAAAGTTTAAAAGAGGGCAAAACTAAACAACACATTGTTTAGAGATATATTTAATAGATGATAAATTTACTAATAAAAGGAAGGGAATGACCCACAAAAGTCAGGATAAAGGTTACATCTCAGGGATATGACTGAAAGAGGGACAACGGGGCAGTTTCTAAGGTCTCATCAAGGCTTTATTTCTTATGCTGGGTGGTAGATATTAGGTGTTAAGTTTGTTAACCTTATTTAAACTGTACATGTTTCATAAACTCATTTATTTATGATATATTTCACAATAAAACCAATGTGGTGGGGGTTGAGTTTGACTCTTTTTTTGGCGATACGTGGTCCTCTCACTGTTGTGGCCTCTCCCGTTGCAGGGCACAGGCTCCGGACGCGCAGGCTCAGCGGCCATGGCTCACGGGCCCAGCCGCTCCGCGGCATGTGGGATCTTTCTGACCAGGGCACGAACCCGTGTCCCCTGCACTGGCAGGCGGACTCTCAACCACTGCGCCACCAGGGAAGCCCCGGGGGCTGAGTTTGAGAGTGAAGTCAGGAAATGAAAAATCTTAAGAAGTCTCTTGGGGGACTTCCCTGGCGGTCCAATGGTTAAGATTCCACTCTTCCACTGCAGGGGGTTTGATCCCTGGTGCAGGAACTAAGATCTCACGTGCCGCACAGCACGGCCAAAAATTTTAAGTCTCTCGGGGAAGGCAAGAAGAAAAATAGGACCAGAGCTAAAAGGGGTGTATGGGGCTGAGTAGGTCTGAGCTTGTTTAAATACCAATGAAAAGGTACCAATGGGGTTGGAGAGATGAAAATAGAGGTGAATGAGGAAATAATTTATAGAATGAAGGTTGTAAGAAGTGGGTGGAGTGGGTGGAGTATGATTCAGAGATGTGAAAAAAAGATACTTCTTTCACTGTAACTTGAGGAACAATTCAAGAACCACGGATTACATGCCCGCTTCCCCCATAAACTGTACCTCCCTTGATGGCCAGGCATTATTAGAACAGTGCTAATGGACAAGGAAGAGAAAAGAGGTAAGGACTGCTTTGGATAGTTTCAAAAAGTAGAGACTGGATTCCCTGAGAAAAGTACGTTGTTAATACTTGACAGATATTCAAATCACCTATTAGCTAACTTCACAAATACTCAAATACCTATTAGAAAAGTCTACCTTAAAGTTTCATTCCTTATCAGATAAATTCAAAACAGTATAATGCCCAAAGTCCAACTCATACTTTTGTTGATAACATACTGAGTATTTGTAATGTTAGGAATCTTTTAAAAGCTAACTTCCTGAAAATTCATTCTTACATCACTTATAAAAGATAAGAAAAAAATCAACTTCCACTTACTTAACTGAGTTTCTAAAGTGGTCTTCAGCCGGATTTTTTACAGTACAACTATTCAGGAGCCATAAGTCTGCCTCTGATGCATTTTCTATTAAAAAGATAAATATGAAAAAGAAAAGTAAGTATCACATTTAATCAGCCAAAAATATCCAAGTGCTTACTCAGATGGCACTGGGACCGCAGGGGGAGAGGAGAGAGAGCTAGTGGGTAGAGTCAAGTAAACAGGCAATTACAACATAGTAGATAACTGCTTCAATATAGAAACATTGGTGAGAAATAAATATTAAAATATATAACCTGTGCTATTATCTTCTCATTTAAAATATAAAGAGGATAAGCATTTTCTTCAAACATTCTGAATACTTGCGAGTATTTAATACTAACAAAAACTAAAGTGAAACTGGCCTAATCTTACCTCTGAATATGAAATTAATTGCCCCTTTTTAGGCTGTGTGTTAATATTTTTCAAGCACATGTATTATACACTGAATATTCTTCAGCTTGAAATGTTACTAAAAATATTGTTTGTCTTCTTTGAAAAAGTTAATGATTTACATCAAAGTGAGTCTTTTATTCCTCACTAATTTGATTAGATGCTGTTATACACTATAACAAACTCACTAGCAACACAACAAATTACCCAAACCAAACCCGTCACGTTTATTGAAATGAATATGTATGTATGTATGGCTGCACTGGGTCTTCATTGCTATGCGCAGGCTTTCTCCAGTTGTGGCGAGCGGGGGCTACTCTTCGTTGCGGTGTGTGGGCTTCTCATTGTGGTGGCTTCTCTTGTTGCAGAGTACAGGTTCTAGATGCGAGGGCTTCAGTAGTTGTACGCAGGCTGCGGTAGTTGTGGCTCATGGGCTGTAGAGCGCAGGCTCGGTAGTTGTGGTGCCCGGGCTTAGGTGCTCCGCGGCATGTGGGATCTTCCCAGACCAGGGCTCGAACCCATGTCCCCTGCATTAGTAGGCGGATTCTTAACCACTGCACCACCAGGGAAGTCCCTCGAAATGAATTTATAAATGCCTTAAGTGCTTGATGCTATTCCAACAGGCTTGCTGCCTAAACGGACTTATACATTAAAATAGGATTACCACAATGAAAGGAAAACCAAAGTTGAAAACTGCAGCACCTTCAATGTTATTTCAACAAGAACAGAAGCAGAGGTCAAAAGACATGAAGAACTAAGGACATATGGATGTCTGTGTGTACATTCTCTACCTGGGAATGGAGCTTCCAGTGAGAGCATTACATGAGAGGGATGGTGAGCACATCCAAGCTTCTGATAACTTGGCAAAACTTTTTCCCCCAACATTTTATTATAAAAATGGTAAATTTTTTACAAAGAGGTAAGATCCACAAATTCTTGAAAAGGAAAGCTCCTCATTACTATACATCAGCTGAATACTAGGATCCCTCCTAACTTGTCTCCCTCCTTCCATTCATACTCCCCACCCCCACCCAGTCGTCTATTTTCCCACCCAGCAGCCAGAGTGGCCTTTTGTAAAACAGCGATCTGATTACGCCACTCACCTGCTCAAACTTGGTAACGACGAGTATTCACCTACCTCTTCTAGTTCCCTCCAAGTTAGTCCCCACGATGCCACCTAAAAGATAATCCTCTAGTAGCAATCTGATCATAGTACCTTTTCAACCTTACAGTGATTTACAATTGGTATTCAAGACCTATCCAGATCTCCACCTCCTCAACTGCAATATTCATTTCTCCCTATATTCATCTATCCTTCCAGCCACACCAAACCAAATTCCTCAAGCTTGCACTATTCCATCTGCCTAGAATACCTTTATTTTCTTCACAGAATGACAGCTCATACCCCTTTCACCTGCCTATCCACCTGGCTAACTCCTTTTCATCCTTCAGTTTCAGCTCGATGTTTGTGAGATGCCCCCTCTCTGGACTCCCACAGTAGACTGTGTCTAGACTATTCTTGCACTTTACAGTTCTGTATTAAAATAATTCATTTTTCCAGCCTGTCTTTATTACTATTTAAGAGATACTGAAGACATTTTTTTCTGCCACTCTCTGAATGTCCAGGACCTAACACAGATTTTTCTACTTACGAGCATAAATCAGTCAACTACCAAAACACAACGAGGATTTACTATGTGTCAGGCTCTGTTCTAAGTACTAGGGATATGAGAGTGAAACCAGTTTCCACCCTCAAGGAGTTTACAGCCTTAAAGAGGAAGTCTGACCAAAACAAAAGACAGAGAAATAAGCAAGATAATTTCAGGTACCAGTCAATGATGTTAAGATGATTAAAGAGAGTACTGAACAGAGAATAATTGTGGGGTTGCTGGTCAAAATAAGTCTCCCTGGGGGCTTCCCTGGTGGCGTGGTAGTTGAGAATCTGCCTGCTAATGCAGGGGACACGGGTTTGAGCCCTGGTCTGGGAAGATCCCACATGTCGCGGAGCAACTAGGCCCGTGAACCACAACTACTGAGCCTGCACATCTGCAGCCTGTGCTCCGCAACAAGAGAGGCCACGAGAGTGAGAGGCCCCTGCTTGCCACAACTAGAGAAAGCCCTCGCACAGAAACGAAGACCCAACACAGCCAAAAATAAATTAATTAATTTTTTTTAAAAAGTAACAAATGTTCAAGTACAATTGGTGTCAAAAAAAAAAAAGTCTCCCTTGGAAGTTTAAATCTGAGTTGAGACTTAAACAATGGGAAGGAGCCTGCCACGCAAAAATCAGAAGAAAGAGCATTCCAAGGAGAAAACAGCACAAGTGCAGAGGCCATGAAACAGGCCCAAGCTTGCCATGTTCCAGTAACAGAGAGAAGACCAGTGTGATTGGACCCAGGGAGAGAAAGTGGGCAGGAACCAGATAATATTGGCCAGTTAAGAAAATTACATTTATTCTAACAGTAATGAGAAGTCACCACTGGGTTTCAAACATGAACTAATTCCTACTTCAGAAATCCCATTCTGGAAACACTGTGAATAAAAGTCTGTAGATGGGGTAAAAGCAAAAGAAGTGGGGAAAAAAGTAAAGGCAAGAAAATCAGCTGGAAGCTGAGACACTGGTCTAAGGGTAAGAGAAAGACCGTGGAAACCTGGACTGGGATTATAGCAATGGCAAGAATGAGAAGTGAATGGAGGCATGTTTTGGAGGCAGAATTAAAAGAATTCACTGTTAGATCAGGTATAAGTCGTGCAAGAAGGCATCATGTAGGATCGCTAAACACGTGGAAAAGATTCTGGCCTGAGCACCAGTTACTGAGGTGCCATTTATTGAGATGAGGGAGGTTTGGAAAGGCACGGATTTGGGGGACAGAGAATCGATAGCTCTGTTGTGGCCATGTTTTGTTTGAAATCCCTATTAAATGTCCAACTAGAAATACTGATCAGCCATTTGTATATATGAAACCAAAGCTCACAGGAGTCTTCCAGGCTGGAGACCCAAATGGGAGAATCTAAACCCTAAAAAGATACCTGAATTTATAGGAATGGATGTGCTCACCTAAGGAGAGAATGTAGGGTGGGGGGAAAAAGGAGAGAGAAAAAGCAGAAGACAGAACATCGGGTTGTTCAAAGGTCTGATGGAGTTGAGATGAGAAAAGGACATGGAAAAGGAACAGCCAATAAGATAAGGGGATAAAAACTAGGGAGCATGGTGTCACAGAAATCCAGAGAAGAAAGTACTTTAAAAAGAAATAGTCAATTGTGTTAAATGCTAAGAGTTCAAGAAAGATATCTGTATAAATACTAGTATTGTTACCAAAAAAAATAAGATGGTCCTCCACCCTTTTTCATTTTCCTTTCTCAATTTTGAGTATTTGCTTGCTCTGTGCCAACTTACAATCACCCAGCAAAGGCCCTTTTTTAAGGTTTTTAAATAACACAGAAAACAAACTCACTACCAAAGGGGAGTGAGGAGGAAAATCGTATATGGCTATTTGCCAGTAAGTAATGTGATCCCACATGTTCTGCCCCCTTCGATGCCATCAACTATAAGAAACACAACCAAATTTGTAACAGCTCTTCAAGAGAAGTGGAACACTATTCTCTGTTCTTTTAAGTTTTAATATACATCCCAACTTCAAACATTAATATAGGAGGCAGGGTGGGGGTGAGATGCATCTGAAACAGAAGAAATAAGCTAGTATTTGGCATGTCTACCTTAGAGCAGCAGCATCTAGAACGATCAGGAAATACCAGAAGATGTGCAGTTTCTAGAACCTCATCACCCCAAATAAAATAACTGTTCAAACATCCTACTGCTAGTAGGTAATTAGGTTACTGGGTTAACTATCTGCTAAGAGAAGGTTAACAGCTTATGTTCTTGCCTTAATCAGAGCATCCATGTCAGGTTCTCCAGTGTCTGGGACAGGGAAACAGAATTAGAGAGGAGAACACAGGGGACAGGACTAGGGAAATGGGCAAGAACGGACCACAGAAGGGAAAGGCAGTAAGAAGGCACCAAGACTGGAGGCACAGACTTCGAGAAGACCCAGGAAACAATTCTACCTACCATGAGACCTGTCCTCCAACACTGGTCCTTGTTAACCCGTGACATGCAGCTGAAAATCATCTGCACATAGCCAAATATTGCCAATGCCAGAGCTGCGATATCAGTACTGGGGTAAAAAGCTACACACTTGAGGCTATAGCCAGATGGAATCTAGACCTCAAGATTTGACTACTTACAGTCTTTCATTATTTCAAATGGCGCTGCAATGAATAGCCATTTTGTATTTTTCCCAGATTACCTGTGGAATCAAGTCAAAGGATAAATTCCCCTCCATAAAGGGTGCATGGCTTCACATTCCCATAAGCAATGCATGAGACTGACCATCTACCCACATCATCACCCATGGAGTGTGCTATCAAACCTCTGTACTTCTGGCAATGCAGTGAGAAACAGGAAGCCAGTGGGATTTGAACTGTGCATTTCTCTTATTAAGAATGAGTTGAGGGGCTTCCCTGGTGGCGCAGTGGTTGGGAGTCCGCCTGCCGATGCAGGGGACACGGGTTCGTGCCCCGTTCTGGGAGGATCCCACGTGCCGCGGAGCGGCTGGGCCCGTGAGCCATGGCCGCTGGGCCTGCGCGTCCGGAGC